GCTGAAGCTGTGACAGAGAGCTGAAGGGCCTGTCGGGGTAATTGGGATGAAGCGCCTGCCCGCTCCTGCCTCTGGAGTAGAATGCAAGCGACTGTGAGTGATGGATGGCAGGCAATTAGGGAGGAGCGCACAGCCAGAGTGGGCCTTCCCCGCCTCTGCCGCCTGCCGGGAGGGCCTGAGCGCATCGCCAAGATGAGCTCTCAAGTGGGGACTGATCGATGAATTAGCACCTTACTGCACGTCTGGGCTCAGCGCTGGTTGTAAGATGGCCCTCAGAGTCACTGAGGAGCAAATCGGGAAATCTTGGCCAGCAGAACAGACAGTCTGCCACTGGGTAAACCTCATAAAACAGAGGTGCCTCCAGAAGTGACAGTCATTAAGTAGAATGCTCCCCCAAGTGACTTTGCCTCTGACAGGATGTGGGGGGAATGTGGAGGTGGCCAGGTTTCCATCAGTGTCAGGGAGAGGCTGCAGGGGTTCAGAGTTGGGACCTCAGAGACCCTGTCCAAGCTTCCTTGCACGTTTGAAGCCCTGCTTTGAGGCACCTCCTCTCTGGCTGGCTGGCAGCTCTGTCACACCACCTGAAGGGAGCCAGCTACCCGCCCCTCCCTGATTCCTCAGCCACTGCTGACAGCCCTGGGAGGGGGCCATGCAAGAGCAGATCCCAGGAGACGGGAGGGAGGGTCAGGCTTTCTTAGCCACCTGGAGGCCACACTAATGTTGTTTCCCATGTCTCCTGGCACAGAACCAGGAAGCTCCCCGTGGCCTCTGTAACCATTCCCCTATCTATTCCAAGAACACTGCTGGAGCATCTGCTGGGTGCCAGGCCTGCAGCTCTCGGATGACGTGCTGGGGACCCTAAGAGGCCCAGTGGGATAGATAGAAGAGCTATTGGAGTTGCTGGTCCTGCCCCTTCCTTGCTCTGAAACTATGAAAATTCTCTGTCATTGAACGAATATATATTAGGCGGTGTTGCGGGTCGAATCGTGTCCCCCAGAAGATATGTTGAAATCCTAACCCCTGGGACCTGTGAACGTGACCTTATTTGGAAACAGAGTCTCTGCAGATGAAACCAAGTTAAGATGAGGTTCTGCTAGAGCGGGATAGGCCTCTGATCCAATAGAAGTGGTGTCCTCATAAGAAGAGGAGAGACAGACACACAAGGAGAAGCCCATGTGACAGCAGAGGCAGAAATTTGGAGTGATGCGGCCACAAGCCGAGGACTGTCAGCCACCACCAGAAAGAGGCAAGGAAGGATTATGCCCAGGGTCTCAGAGGGAGTGAGGCCCTGCTGACACCTTGATTTCGGACTTCTGGCCTCCAGACCTGAGAGAGAATAAATTTCTATTATTTTAAGCCCCCCAGTTTGTGGTACTTGTACAGCAGCCCTGGGAAATAAATACAGGCACCTACTCTGTGCTGTCCTGTGCTGGGTGGGTGGGTGAGTGTGGGAAGGGTAGATAGAGTGGAGGGCAAGGTGGACATGACCTGTGCTCATTCATTCGGTCATTGGGTTGCAAATTTTATTAAGCGTGTCCTCTGTGTGCCAGACATCATGCTGGCGCTGGGATGAAGCCAAGAATCGAGCAGACAAAAATGTCTCCCTCTGGGAGTTTACATTCTAGTAGAGAGAGATGGACAGGAGCGTAACAACTGCAAAGTAATAATAAATAGTACCTCAGACGGTGAAAAGTGCGATGGAGACAAATGGAGCAGGGAGGGGAGACAGACTTCTGGGAGGGGCCCTAGGTTTAAGTAGGGCAGCGGGGGCCTCCTTGAGAAGGTGGCATTTGAACTGGTGCAGTGGTTTCCAACTCCGGCTGCAAATAGAATCACCAGCGAAGCTTAAAATAAACAAAAACAATAATGGCAGAGCCCCACCCAGGCCAGTTGAGTCAGGGTCTCCCGGGTGGGGCTCTGGGACTCTCTGTAGAAGCTCTGGGGTGATTCTAGGGGGACCAGGTCTCAGAATGACTGGTCTATGGGAGGAGAGCACAGCGCCGAGGCCCAGCAAGGTGCCCTGTGGGGAAGGAGGGCGGTCGCAGGCCTGGCCACATCTGGACGTGGCACGCAGCGGGGTCAGAGCTCAGTGAAGCGAGGCTAGGCCCCCTGAGCCCTGTCCACACACATCTCGTGTTCTGGGGGCGGCCCCTTCTCTTCCTCCTCCTTCTTCCCCTCGGATTGGCGCTGTGGGTTACCTTGCCCAGGAGCAGGCCTGCCTCTGCCGGGTTCTGGGACTTTGTTCTTTCCTACTGTGAGGGTCTCAGCAGCCCCCAAAGCCAGGCCTCTGCTGTGTAGCCCTGAACCCAGAGTGGAACAGCTGGGCATGGTGTCGCTGGCTGTGCATTTGAAATACTGAGGTCAGCCAGGGGTCTCTCACTCAATGTCTTCCTTGACTCTGGTGCAGCCAAGCTTGGCCACAACCTGCCTTGGCTTTGAGTTCCTGAGAGTTAAAGCTGAATTTCCAGAACAACTATGTAACGGTGCTTCTTGTAGGCTGGGAGAGACTTTTCCCTTCTTCTGGGTGGAGTGGGGCAGCCACCTGAGAGGCGGGGAGGTGGCAGGTGGGCCAGAATAGGGGTCTACACCTATTAGGGAGCTGGGATCAGCATCTGGAACCCGACAGCTTCCCCTCACCCACTCCTGTCTCCCCCAGCGCCCGATGCCCCCGGCCAGCCCCTGGGCGAGGCGCTGAGCCCGTCTGCAGGGTCAGACACCAGCATCAAAGCATGATGGAGACTCCCGACTCCCTTTCATCTTCTGAGGCCGCTGCCTCGGAGGCTGCCCGCTCTGGAGCAGCTTGTCTGATGTTCTGATGTCCTGAGTCCTGGGGCCTGACGGGACAGCGTCTCTCCTCTCTGCTTCTCCTCCTCACCTTGTCTGCTTTCCCCTCATTGTCTCGTCTCTTGTCACATCCCTGCATTTCTCCCACTCTCTTTGGCTTTCCCCGGCAGTTGTCTTTGCTGATCCAGCTGGGCTCAGAGCGGCCTGAGGAGCCAGGGTGCCAAGAGAGAGCTCTGGGCTCAGCACCTGGGGTCTGCCCTCTTGTACTTTCCTGGGAGGTGACACAGCCTGGCTGGAGCCCTGGGATGCACTCTCTGGTGGCCCAGCCCGTCTCCACGTCCCCTTGTGTGAGCTGGTGAGCAGCTGCTGAGTGTGGTCCCTCTGGGTGGAGTCCTGTCCTCACCTACCTACAGCAGCTCACACATGCCTCTTACGGCTCCCTCTGTCCCACATACATTGCCAGACCATTGAATTACGCTCGTATTCCTTTAAGATGACTGCAGGGCCAACAGACAGCATAGGATTTACTGATTCAACTCCTGGACTGTGAAGCCAGGTTGCCTGTGTGGCCTTGGGCAGGTAACTCAACCTCTCTGTGCGTCAATTTTCTCACCTATAAAAGTAGGATACTGACCTCACAGGGTGGTTGTAGGGCTTAAATGAGTTAATACATATAAAGTGCTTAGAACAGTGTCCAACTGTTTTAAAACGTAGGTTTTATTATTATTCAGGTGTGGTGAGGCCAGTGGATCAGGAGACGACTTCCATTGAAGAGGCAGTTTGTTACGCACAGTTCCCAAGAGGAGGGGGCACGCCACCCCTTGAGGGGGCCCCACAGGGAAGCACCCCAATTGGGCAGGAGGCAGAGGGGGGCGAAGCATGGGCAAGAGCCTTTATGATGGTTTCTGTGGGAAGGAACAGGTGAGGCAGGGTAGGCGGGCTTAGGATGGGCTGGTTTGAATAATGTCAGCAGGCTTTGGGGTGTAGGGCCTGTCCCGAGTTGTCTGGTACCTGTCCCTGGGATGCTGGGGGCAGAGCAGTAGGGGCCCGGGTGTGAGAGCCTGATTGGGGCTGGGGCTCTGGACTCTGAGGCGAGTTGTTGACTGTCTCGAGGAATTGACCCGTCTGGGAGGGACAGGCTCCCGGGGGTCACAAGGCCCCTGATGTCAAACACCAGAATGAAAAGACATGCTTAATGTACTGGCACACATTTTTGGAATAAAATGACAAAGTACGTTTAGTTCTACATTCTCAATTTAAAAAATGAGATGGTTGCTTCTGGAACCGCAGGAGCCGCGTGGTGGAGTGGAGGAGCAGAGGCCCGGGGGGTGGAGGCCACCGTGCTGTGGTCTCCAGCCTCTTCCCTGGGGCTCAGCCTCCTCTCCGTGAGATGGAGACCCCAAGCCTTGCTTCAGGGCAGCCCGGAGGATCCCGATGATGTGTCGGAAGCTCCCATCCCCGTGCCTGGCCACCAGGAGCGTCTCCATGCAGGAGAGTTACTACATCCCTGTGTCTGTTTTAAGGGAAGAGCTCTAGGGCGCTCACACGTTCCAGCTCTGGGCCTCACCTCTGGTGGTCTGTTATGAAAAAAAAGGAAGGTGTTTTCAATCTTGGGAACACGAGCCTCCAGAAACGGATAAAAGATCCAAAACGTGCAAGGCAGGGACTGGCTGGTGCATTTGACGGGGCTCCTGGGGCTGAGGCTGGAGGAGCCGGCTGGACGAGGCGGGGGCTTCCGGAGATGCACGCAGACTGGCCGTGTCTTCCTCCCTCCTCCCTGTGGCTCTTTCAGTCTGTCCTTTCTGGAGGACTCCCTCGAGATGCTCTCTCCAGAGCAGATGAATCAAAGGCCTCCATCCCTAGGCCCAGCTACCTTGAGGGGGTGGCTCGGGTCAGACAGGGCCAGGCCGCTATCTGTGGTCACCTCAGGCAGACACATGCTCCCAGGTCTCATGCGCCTCTGCGCCTTTCCTCCTGGGAGGAGTGAGATGCAGGTAGAGTACAGAAAGGAGGACTGGATTGGCGTTTCCCTGCCAGCTGGGAGAGGCCACCCTCTCAGCTCTCTGGTGCCAGGGCCTCTGTCCCCTCCCCAGCAGCTGTTTGGAGCCCTGTAGGACTCTTGCTGCCCAGCAGCCCTCTTATGGCTGAGGGCGGGCCCTGGCTGTGTCCCCCCACCTTCCTCCCTCATGGGGGTCTTCCTCCACCTGTCTCCCCAGCATCCTGTTTGCTGACATCGAGGGCTTCACCAGCCTGGCGTCCCAGTGCACTGCCCAGGAGCTGGTCATGACCCTCAACGAGCTCTTCGCCCGCTTCGACAAGCTGGCCGCGGTGAGTCACCCCGCCCGCTGCCATCAGGCACTCGTGTGCCTGAGCCGAGACAGGAAGGGTGGCCTGACCTGGGCTGCCTGAGTGGGGGTGGTGTGGCCAAGGACTCACTGAACCCCAGGGACAGGCCTGTGCCAGGGTGTGGCCTGCTGGGCAGAGCCCTCTGTTGGGAACTGGGAACGGCCAGAGTGGCCACGTGGGCTGTGGCTGTGTGTCCTCACGTTGGCCCCAGCCACACACTCACACATGGAGATGCTTTCACAGTGTTGCCGTTCACAAGGGAGCAAGTGGGTGAGCCCTCCATCAGTGGAAGTGGGTGGTGAGGCTTGTCAGTAATACCCCCCAAACCCCAGAAGAATTTCTGTGTGATGGGCATGTTAGGTGTCATAGAGCCACTTTCCTGATGCGATTGGCTGCAGTGATCAGAGAGTGAGTCTGAATCCCAACTGGCCTGCAGACAGCTGTGTGCCACCCCTCAGAGGCTTCCTGAAAGAGGACCCTTAATGTTCCGACAAACTAGAAGTCACACCTGTTGGTGTGGAGCAGTGAACTCATTAGGTCCCTGTTTCCACCTCTGTCATCCTTTCCCAGCTTGTGTGGCTATGGGCGATGCTCTGAGCCTTTGTAGAGTCATTATTTGTCACAGGTCACTTACTACAATGTCCACCAACATGTGGACATGTCCCCTTTGCCCTCCCAGGATGCCAGACCAGATGGTTGATGAGAGGCTGGTGCTGGTCGGAGGTGGTGCCGGGGCCTCTGTGGGCGTTAGATGGTAGGCCCCGCACCTCACTCGTGTTTGTCACTGAACGTGGGTGAGGTGAACCGGTTCATGCCGGGGGCTTGTGCAGTGGATGGGTCTTAAATGAGAGTCCAGGCCACACAGATACTCGAGTGCCAGCGTCCCAGCCTCATGAAGTAGCTTCCGGGAGCCAGATTTGGACAGCTGATAATCGATGGTCAGTGACGTATATCCATGCCAGTTGTGGATTGATCGCGGCCTGCTGGGGTGACCCTGCTGGGCCAGTTACCCGGGGGTGGGGGGGACCGGGGAGCAGCCGGCAGGTCCCTCAGCTCTGTGGGTGTCTTATCACTCAGGGGCTTGCTGGTCTAGCAGAACTCTTTTTGATAAAATTTCAGACAGGCTGAGGGGTCAGGTGAGATTGTGTTTAAATCTCATTTCGGCTTGAATCTTTTTGTAAAAGACGAAGAGTCAGAAAACTGTTCACAGAAGCTGAGGCTGAGAGTCAGAGCACGGTCCAGGGGTGGGGTGGGACGGGGACACTCACACGCAGCTTGGGGCCGTCCTCGCGCTGCCACAGTGGGCCAACTGCATTCTTCCGGGGCCTCTGCTGTGGCCATAACAGTGCGTTCCTGGTCCTGGGGAGGCTGGAGTGCCTCTCTGAGGGCTGCTCGGCCTGTCCTCCGTCCCCCACGCTCCTGATAAGCCCGTCCCAGGGCTGGGGCTGCGCATCCTGCCGGCACTGAGTCTGTACTTGCTGCCCTAAAAGGCAAGTTATTCCAGGCACGGGGTGAATCTGTTTGCCTCCCGTTTCTTTCCCTCCCACTTCTCTTTCCTACTATTTTTAATTTTTAAAATTAATTTGCTTTCCAGGAGAACCACTGTTTACGTATTAAGATCCTGGGGGATTGTTATTACTGTGTTTCGGGGCTGCCTGAAGCGAGGGCTGACCATGCCCACTGCTGCGTGGAGATGGGCATGGACATGATTGAGGCCATCTCGTAAGTGCCTGTCTCCAGGGGGACTGCCCGTCTGCAGGGAGACTGCCCATATGTAGGGGGACTGTCCATGTCTAGGGGGACTGCCCACATCTGGGGGGACTGTCCATGTCTAGGGGGGCTGTCCATATCTAGGGTGGCTGACCATCTCTAGGGGGCTGACCATCTCCAGGAGGACTGTCCATCCTCAGGGGAGCTGACTATTTCCAGGGGAACTGTCCATCTCCAGGGGGGCTGACCATCTCCAGGGGGCACTGCCTGTCTCCAGTCTGCAGGGGGCCTGTCTCACACCCTGAGTAACTGACCAGCTGGCTGCCTGGTTGGACAGGGAAACAGTGGGGCAGAGCCCCCTCCAAGGACCACCAGACCTGTCGGGGGGTAGATGTGCACCTCCAGGCTGGGAGCCTTCTCTGGGTCTCCTGGTACACAGCAGCCTGGGAAGCTCTTCCCAGAGAAACGTGTGCTGTGGGAAGGGAGCGCTTTGCAGACTCTGGGCAGCAGGTGTGGACGCACCTCTCCAGGAGGAGGACAAGCTGGCAGCCGTGCTGTGAGCGGCTCTTGCACGCCAGTCTTTCATATCTTCTCACAGCCAGGCAGCTAGGGTGGAACTCTCTGCCCCATTTCCTCCCAGATGAGAAAGGCTGGACTCAGGTTAAGCAGCTCCCCAGGGTCATACTACTGGACAGGTGAATTCAAACACAGGTGTTTCTATTTTAGGAAAACCCATCCTTCCTGGGAGCACAGCAAAAAGGGTCTTTGGCCAATTCTTGGTCACTGCTGGCCATAGCAGGAACCCCCGTCCTTAAAATCCATGGACAATCCAAGCTTACATGTCAGCCAGGGAGCGGGTCAGAGATTGCATCCAGGGTCAGTAACTTTGAACTTTAGAAGGGGCCTGGGCAGGGGCAAAGGGAAAGCCACAGTGGGCAAGGTCAGAGGTCAGAGCAGCTGTCCAGGAAGGTGGCTGCCTCCATTCAGTTTGGCTCAGTTCCATTCGGCGGTGTTTGCTGAGTGCCCCTGCGTCCTGAGCTAGGTGTCCGTTGCAAGAGAGAGGCTGGGATTGCATTGCTCTGATACCAGGCATGCCGAGTGGATACCACCAGGTCAGAGAGGCAAACTGGTGGGCGGGCTAAGGAGGGGGCTGTCCATTCCATTGGGAGGACGGAGAGAGGCTTCCTGAAGGAGGTGGCCCTGGAGTTTAGCCAAAAAGGTAGAATGAGCTGTCATCAACCTAAGCAAGTGGCCAGAGGCATTGTGGATGGAAGGAACAGCTCCAGTAAAGGTGTTTGCAGATTGATCCCAGGACAAGAGAAATGATGAATGACATATATCTTCCCTGTGGTGGGTGTCAGCCCCTTGCTGGTGGGGTGGGGTGGAGGGCGGGAGTCCAAGTGGTCACTGCCTCTCAGATGGCTGAGTGGGCCCATCCCCAGGGTGTCAGGGAGGGTCCAGGTCCCTGAAAAGTGCACGCTGAGTGTCTTACCACAGAGCACCTGCATCCTCTTCCGCAGACACAGACCTGGAGATATACAGTCAGTCCCACTCCCCTCCCACAGAGGGCCTCCTGTCTATTGGGGACTCCTGGGTACATGGTGCACGTGGTGGGGACTGGAGCTGTGTTCTAGCACCTGGAGCACCCTCAGTCCCCTGCACCTGCCCAGGCCCCCGTTCTTTCCTGAGCAGGAGTATGTCTTTCGAAACTCTGTTAACCACCTTTCTCCATTATCCTGCTAACGTCGAAGCAGCAGCAATGAGGATAAATCCAAGAGCGTTATGTGAATGGGATTTGGAGTGGCTGTAACTTCCCTGTTTGGCTCAAGTCGGCACTAATGTGTATTTGCATTTTCAGATCACGATTTAGTTGACTGAGGGTAGCGATCGCCCGAGCGCCCCGGGTGCCCGAGTTGGGGGAAGCAGTAGGGCCTGGGCTTTAGTGTGAGGCGCTGCGCCACCTTGTGGCCAAGACAGGAAACAGCGCCTCTCACAGATTACAGCACCTGAGCAGCCCGGCCCAGCCCCTGCCCTTCGCAGGGAACGGTTTCTGATTGGATTTGGGCTGGACCAGAGAGAAATGACTGTGAGCCCCACACCTTCTGACGCATCCCCGACCCCCTGCTCTCCAGCCTCGCCCCTGCTCTGTGTGCCTGGTCCCTGATCCTCTCCCAGCCTTACCCCTGCTCCATCCCCAGGTTGGTCCGGGAGGTGACAGGGGTGAACGTGAACATGCGCGTGGGAATCCACAGCGGGCGAGTACACTGCGGTGTCCTTGGTCTCAGGAAGTGGCAGTTCGACGTCTGGTCTAACGACGTCACGCTAGCCAACCACATGGAGGCTGGAGGCAAGGCGGGGTGAGTGAGGACCACTGCGGTGAGCGAGGACCTCGGGCAGCGGGGCAGCGCGGGGCCCAGACTTTGCTTCTCACCCTGCCCCACCCACGGTGACTGTCGTAGGAGCGGGGCAGTGGGCAGGACGGGGTCACTTGCAACCCTGGGGTTGGCAGAGTTAGGTGAAAATTACTCTACCTGGCAAATTACTTACCCCTCACCATGGCAAGTAGGGGTAGGGGGCTTCGTCTCCACCTTTGCAGAGTCTTCATGTGGAAGATATGTACACAAACGCTGTGGTTTGTGAGATGCAGTAGGTAGGGCGGAGTTCTAGAGGAGGGAGCCGGGGATAATTTCCAGTGTAGCCAGGACAGAAAGGAGGTGGAATGTGAGCTGGCCTGGATGACTGGGCAGGATTCGGGCTGGTGAGGAGGGTAGGGAGGGGAGAGTGTGCCAGGCTGAGGGAAGGGTGTGAGGGCAGGCACAGGTGTAGGAAAACAGTGTTTCCAAGGAATCCGAAGTAGAGCAGACGGCCTTTTAGGGACCAGTGGAAGGAACAGTGCCTGTGTTAAGAAGGACGTTCATGCCAGGCTGGGGAAGTTGGACTCGATCCTGTAGTCAGCAGCAGCTGCTGTTGGCTTCTGAGCAGGTTTGCAGAGTTTGTGAGCCTGGAGCCGGTGTCCTCCCAGCAGGCTGACAATGTATCGTGTTATTACAGTAATATAACACAGAGGGGAGATGGTGTGGTGCTGTGGACAGGAGCTGGGACGGGTCCCCCGAGCCATCTGGTGACCTTGGAGGGATGCCGTGTGCTGAGGTTGGGACGAAGGTTGGGGCTAGCGTTTGAGCCAGAGTTTGGGGCCCTGGGCTTTGAATTGGGATTGAGTTGGTTGCAGTTTGTTCTGCATAGGAGCTGGAGTTCTGAACTCATTTTCTGCCCTCCCCACCCTGTTTCCCTGCCCACCTGTAGACGCATCCACATCACCAAGGCCACACTCAACTACCTGAACGGTGACTACGAGGTGGAGCCAGGCTGTGGGGGCGAGCGCAACGCCTACCTCAAGGAGCACAGCATCGAGACCTTCCTCATCCTGCGCTGCACCCAGAAGCGGGTCCGGGGGCTTGGGGGCCGGGGAACTAGGGGGCTCAGAGTCTTCGTTCTTTGAGGGAGGGAACTTTTCTTAGCTTACTGCTTCCTTCTCTTGCTCTTTCCTTGAGTCAAGTCGTGAATTCCTAATGCATCTCAGGAAGGACATGAGAGTTAACTGAGGCCTTGCAAAGGCTGATGGCAAAGAGGGAATGATTTCATTTTGCTTCTGTTGCAAAAATGCAACAGGCCTCAAATCATTTAGCAGCGATACATCTGAAGGCCACGAGATGGCAGTGAAGCACCAAGGAAATCTGGGTATACCAGATATTTTATCTCCAGCTCGTTCCTTTTCTGTTGCCTAAACTAAGTGGACATTTGTCCTCCTCCGTCTCTCTCTCTCTCCCTCTCTCTCAGTGTCTGTCTCTGCCTGTACTCATATATCTGTTGTTTATTGAACCCCTGTTTTTTCCCATCTTTTACTTTCTAGTCTCTTCCTTCTTTCTCATTTTGTCTCAGCCCACACTTGCCAAAATACAAAACTGAATTATTAGCAGACCTCAGTGTTCTATTTTTAATAGTGCCACATTCCATGTTCTTAATTTTTAAAGCAGATGAAGAGAACATTTCCTATTTCTCCCTAGATTAAAATGCCTTTTCCTTAGGAGTCTTTCAGTTGAATTTATCTGTTGGTCAGAGCCCTTTGAGAGAGAATACCTTCCCCTTTTCTTTCCTAAGAAGTTAAAGATAAAATGAAACTGTGGGAAAAGTTCAGAGGAAGTCTTGGATGGAGCAGAAGATTTTTCAAGGGAGGAGGGGCTCTTCCGGGAAGGTGTCCACCCTGAGAGGGACATCGAGGGGCAGTGTGTCCCGCCACAGCAGCACACCCGGGACACGGGTCCTGGCTGCAGGGCCTCTGAGGCAGCTGTGTCAGGCCCCCGCACAGACACCAGGAAGGGGTGTGGGAGGCTTTAGGGCACTTTGAGGAGAGCTCCTAGTGGCTTGATTGACACATTTTTAAACATTTGCTTGTTGTTTGGCCAGAGTATAAATGAGCTGGGATCCTCCCAGGCCGTCCTCCCACATTCCTCCTCTCTGCTGGTTCCCAAGGCCTCCAGCCCCACCCTCTAGCGCCGCCCAGGCTGAAGCCTCACTCTCTACCCTGGGTTCTCTGGGTCTGGGTCTTCCAGCTTGACAAGCGATCCAGAAAGGATGTCCCTTCAGCAGTGTCAGCTGAAGCAGGCTGTGTCCCTTCCCCTCTGCATCCCTGGTCTGATGGCTCCCTTCTCAGGCTCAGGGAGGGCGTTGTGGGGAAGACCACCTCTTCCCTGGGCCTCTCCAACCATCCGCCTCTTGTGCCCATTTGGATGGACGGGCAGACAGATAGACAGAGATCCTGGCTGGCACATGGGTAGCTGGGTGAGGCCCCGTTTGTGTATTTGTGCAATGCATGTCAGCCCTTGAATCTTATAGTTCCAGTGACCCAAACCTCTGGAAGCTGCCTTCTGGGCGGTAGGGCCTGTCCTAATGCCCACTCTGGTAGCACGGGCCTATTTTGGATAAATTGAGTGGAGATTGGAATCCCAGGTTTCCTCTCCCTCTGTCACCCCTGGGCACCTGCAGACCCAGGCTCTGCCACCCTTGAGAATTCCATGCAAACTACAGATGTCCCCGTGCCCCTTTGCTTTCTCACCAGACCCATCTCATCATCCTCTTCTGCCCTGACCTGGGCTAGCCAGGGCTGGCAGGAGGGAGTTTGGAGGGATTTAGGATGTGTGCCCAGGTGAGCTCTGGGATCCTGGCAGACCTCTGGGATCCTGGTTGTGCAGAGAAGAGAGGCACAGCTGCCTAAACCCCTCCCTGGCCTGGCCTCTGGGAGGAATGAGAAAGTCCTCACTGGGGCTCCTCTGGTGGGCCCTGCCCACGGACTGATGCATCTGTGTTGCTCTCCCAGAAAGAAGAGAAGGCCATGATCGCCAAGATGAATCGCCAGAGAACCAATTCCATCGGGCACAACCCGCCACACTGGGGGGCCGAACGCCCCTTCTACAACCACCTGGGTGGCAACCAGGTGTCCAAGGAGATGAAGCGGATGGTGAGTGGCTGGCAGGGCAGTGTGCGGGCACATCCTCCGGGGCAGGGCCTTCCGAGGGTGTGAGGGCTGGGCCAGGCCCCTCCTTCGTCCTAGGGAATCTGGAGAGCCACAGAAGGAAACATTGGAAGGGGGGCTTATCCCAACTTTGGACTAGGAGCCGGAGCACCTGACTTCTGGTCTCGGGCTCTCTCCGTGAGCCTCGCTCTCCCTTGGCATGCCCCATTTGGCTTTGGAATGGAGTGACGACACCCCTTCCTCCCTCCCTCTTGGTAGAGGGCTTGCTGGCGCAGGCTGGAAGCAGGCCCATCTGCCTGGACTCAGGGTCCAGCCAAAGGCTCCAGTGGTCTCTTGGCACTATCTGGTGAGGCCCTGGGGAGTGGAGTGGTTACTGGCTTATCACTCGCCCTTCCAGTACCTGCTACATTTCCCAGGCAGTTGGAACACATCTTTTGGCTCAATTGCTCAGAAACCATCCCAGTGCTTTTTGGCAAGTGCCAGGTGATGGTCCCCTTTGCCCTCTGTGCTGAGAAACACTCCCGCTGACTGCAGCCTTCCGGGGGGGGGCGTGCAAGTGGAGAGAGCAGAGACCGCAGTGGGGTGCGAGCTCTGTTTCAAGGCTCCTTGCCTGCCTCTGGGGACAGACACCCCTGGGCATCGCCACACACACCAGGGCTGGGCTAACTCAGGATGCGCTGCCCGGGTTCTATCAGCGATGATGGAAAGAAGAATTCAGAGGGGGGGAGGAAGAGGAAGAGCGAAGACAAGAAGTCAAGTTCTTGCAGCAGTGTTCTCCTTCTTTCTTTCCAAGAGCTTGGCTCCTGTATCGGAGCACACTCCTCAGCTCAAGGGCAGCCTGGGTCCAGGTCGGAGTCGCCCACGCTGAGGGAGGGATGGTGAGGAGGGAAGGTGCAGGGAGTGGTGCCCGTGTGGCCACTTAGTTCGCACAGAGCCGGGGTCGAGGAGTAAGGCAGGGCATGCCGGCCCCAGGGTCCCTGAGTTGGGGCCTCTGTGGATCAGACTAGGTTTAAGCAGCAGCAGCAGGGTTTAGAGACAGACTCCATGAGAATCCAACAGAGTCAGCAGACAGCGCCAGGGTCTGAGGGAGGAGACAGGCTGGAGACCCAGTCACTGTGCTCCTTACTAGCTAGCAAGTAGCAGATGATGAAAGTTTAAGGAAAATGTACAGGAGAAAAACTGAATTGAGTCAAGACCTCCATTTTAACTTTTGACGGTAAAGAAGCAACATTTGGGACACCAAGATCTTTGAACGTGGATGTCCACACGCCTGGTCCGTGCTGCTCAGGGTTCCAGCCACCACTTTCTCCCTCCAGGACCCTCCCCAAAGCACAGAGCGGTTGGTGGACCCTCCCTTCTCACCCAGCCCTCGAATAATCTGCAGACCCTGTGCCCACGTGACCAGGACGGTCTAGAGATGAGAGGGGGTGGGAGGACAGGGGGAGCCTGAGAGGGGAGGGGCATATGAAGAGCGGGGAGGCCCTGATCCAGGTGGGAGGGAAGAGAGGAGCAGGGGGCGGGAAGTCAGGAGAGGACAGCCAGAGGAAGCGGGAGACGCAGGGGGAGCTGGAGACGCGGAGAGTGGGGAAGGAACAGGTGGGACAGGATGGAGATGGAGAGGAAGGAAAACCACCAGCAGGCAGGAAAGGTACCTGGTGGGACATTGCCTTCTCCGTTTGAATCTTTGGAAAGTTTTTTCCTTTAGCGATATTTGGTATAAGCAGAATCTTTCATTATTTCTGAGCCTCGGAGGAGGCAGTGTGGATATAAACACCAGCTTGGCAGACACGTTCATCATCGTTAGGACAAGGAGCCTTGGAGGAATTAGCAGAAGGGCTGTAGGTGAGGAAAGGACAGTCTCAGGGGACCGGCTGCTGGATGGCCTCCTCGTGGTGTTAATTGCTTCGTCCAGCGGTGGGGAGGGAGGAGAGCATGTGCGGAAGAGCAGGGTCAAGGACACCTCTGCACAGCTTGAGGGGAAGAGGCTCCCCATCCCCCCTCTGGCTGGGCAAAGTGCCCGGCATCAACGTGCCAACTGCTGTCCCTGCAGCTGCCCAGTCAGAGGGTCCAGCTGGGGATGAGGCAGGTTCCGCAGCTGCCAGACACACCGTGGGCTTTTGATGTCAAACTCGCCTGAAATCTTTGGGAAAGACGCAAAAAGCGAGCTTCTGCCCTGACTGCCACTGAAGATCGGGGAGGAATTAGATTAAGCAGTGACTGAGAGCGGTTGGAAAGGGCTTAACTTGTAGTCAACGGCTTATTTCTTTAACTCTTGTTGCAGCTTTTACTCACCTTTTACAATGTCGTGACCCGCTGTGCCGGTTTATGTTTAGGCCTGAGTGTTGTAAGGTCTCTAAGCTTATTTATTAGCAAGAAGGTCGGCGGGGGAGCGTGCATGGACCTCTGCTCATCTCACCAGCCCAGGGAAGCTCTGCATTCTCCGGGGTGGCGGGCTGAGTGCTGGGGAAGATGAGCAGCCTTGACAGGGCAGGCGTGCAAACGGGACCTGCCCCTCAGTCTGGACGAGCTGAGGGGCCACGGCCTCTGCTCTTGCTTTGGGTCCGAGGGAGAGGATCAGGAACCAGACAGAACCCCTGAGCTGAGCTGCTCCCCAGAAGTGCTCCCCAAACCCCAGGAACCCATCTGAGGGTCCTCCTAGCCCAGTTGAGGACCATTGTCCTAGTAAGCAGGTGGGGGGACTTGAACCCGGCCTGCTGGACAGTGTTCTTAATGACCCTCTGCCATGGTTTATGGATCAAAGTGTTTCTGGCTATTGTCAGTCACCACCCCAATCTGACACTGAACTTTGCACACCGACACGACCCCCATGTGCTTAGAGTGGACCTGGCCCCCAATGCCAGTCCCAGCAGATGACCAAAGAACCCTGGAGAAAGTCAGAAACAGGCCATTAAAAACATTTCAGGTTGATTTTTGAGCTGTAGAGACCAGCGTAGGCATCATCCAGCTCAGTCGTCCTCAGTCCCGCAGGAAAATCGTCGCTGGCCCCTGTGATAGACAGCAGCGGGCCAGCACGTCACCTGATGTTCCCAAGCGAGCTGGCCTGCCCACTCTCTGCTGCCTGCTTGAGCTGGGCACCGAGGCATCCCGGGAACATCCGGCATGGGCCCACCCCTGATGGGGCACTCGCTTGAGTGACACCAACGTCTCCAGCCTGGAGCTGGCATGGGGAAGTGGGCTGGGTCTTGCAGCAGGCATGGAGGGCCTGGCAATTTCTCAGAGGACAAGGAGAAGGGTCTGGCTCGCCCAGGTAGACAACTGCCAGGCAGCCTGGGAGGAGCTCAGAGCCCACGGCTGGGCACTTGGTTATCCCACTAGAGGCTGCCGAGGCCCAGGCAGCCCTCAGCTGGGGGTAGAACGGAGAGCGAGCACCTTGGCGCTGCGTGGACCCCACTTCTGTTTTAGCGCCCAGCAGCTCTGGCTCATGGAGACCAACATAAATCCCACTTTTTGTGTTTCAAGCCATGTCCTCAGAGGGAATGAAGAGAGATGTGTTCGTTAGGGGTTTGGGTTCACCCAGCATTGGCCAAACTCCCCATTTGCCCAACAGTGTGCTCCAGTGTGCTGGGCCAGAAATCAGAGGTCATCTGCCCTTGTCCCAGCAAGCTGAGCCTTACCTGAAACTGCCTGTCCTACCTGTCGCCTCCACCAGTGCCATCCAGATTCCACCCTCGTCCCATTCTAGGGAGCACTCCCTCCATTCTGCCACAACTGGTCAGACCCTGACACACATCGGTCCCTCTGTGGACTTGATAGATTAACTCTAAATAGAGCTTTGAGTTTGGCCACCATAAGGGACCTTCCCACCCTCACCCCTGCCCCGTCTGTATGAACATCACAACAGTAGTCAACTCGGGGCAGGCAGGTCCCTCACCTCCTGGGTCCCCAGCCAGCTCTGGCCTTGTGAGAACGTTGGTTCTCAGAGACAGGCAAAGCTGTTGCAGTAACAGGAGCTTAATTTTCTTAAGCTTGTAACTTGTGAACTCTGGGGAGATTTTATGTGTGCTCAGTGGGGGTGGGGGTAAGTGTGCATGAGTGTGTACGTGCATGGTTATGTGCATGAGTGTGGGGATTAATCAGCTTAGAGGTTTCTTTTATTTTCATCTGAGTAAGTGGCAGAATTGGGAGGGGACCCACCAAGTCCAGGGTCCAGGAGGCGGGGAAAGGGAGGTTTGGGGACATATGACAAGGAAGCAGGTGTGGGGACAGGAAGAGCTTAGACACATGGACTTGCCAGCAGATGAACTGAAGTCACAGTGCGCCCCAGCGTGTAGCACAGAGTCTGACCCATAGGAAGAACCCAGCTCATGGAAGGAAGGAAGGAAAGAACTACTGGGGGCCAGCCCCGTGGCCGAGTGGTTAAGTTTGTGTGCTCTGCTTCAGCGGCCCAGGGTTTTGACGGTTCGGATCCTGGGCGTGGACATGGCACCGCTCATCAGGCCATGCTGAGGTGGCGTCCCACATAGCACAGCCAGAGGGGACCTACAACTAGAATATACAACTATGTACTGGGAGGCTTTGGGGAGAAGAAGAAGAAGAAAAAAGAAGATTGGCAACAGTTGTTAGCTCAGGTGCCAATCTTTAAAGAAAAAAAAAAACTGAACTGCAACCGTCTCTGTGTCCAAGCTCCTTGGTGGGCTGTAGAGAGAAAATGAGCTGCAGCCTCTGCAGCCACATTTCTGGAAGCTTCATTTTCAGTCCTCTCTGTTCTCACTCCTCTCCTTCTCTCTCTATCCCTCTCTTTTAGGGCTTTGAAGACCCCAAGGACAAGTGAGTAATGTGCCCTTGGCCTGGGGGTGTCTCCGAACCTGCCTTCTAGCTGGGCTTCCCCATGCGCCCTGGAGAATGAGCCCACGCAGTCTTGGCTGAGGGTGCACGGAGCCCACGGCAGCTGACAGAGGGCAGCCCGGGACCCAGGCCGCCTGGCATAGAGAGAGGCTGGGCCTGGCACTGCCCCCTTATAATCTCCACTCTGAGCACACATGTGCACGCAACTACACACATGCACACTCTGCACATGCGTGTGCACACACACACACACGCATACACACACGTGCAGCTCTCAGGGAAATGCCAACTTTGCACCTTGGTGGCCAGCGCCTGGCCACATCCCAGTTCCTTGAGGAAAGTGAATGTCCTCTTTGTCCTTCACTTCCCAGTTCTCAGGGACTGTCAGAAATCCCACTCAAGGACTAGGCTTCCCCCAAGAAATAGGGTTTTTAGTTCAGCACCCCAAGGTCCTGAAACCTGCTTCCCAGAGGGCCCCCAGCCAGGTAAAGGCAGCCAGGTGCTCCCAGGCCCTGTGGCAGAAGTCTCGCCCCGCAATCCCCGCCTTCGTTTCAGGGTGATGGGACAACTGGAGAATGAACAGCACAGAACCGTTACCTGTAGGGGAAGAAACAATTAAGCCTGTGATAATAATTCACAGTATTTTTATAATATGATAATATATCAATAGAGGCAGAAATACCTTATCGTCAGGGAGGCCCTCCCGCCAGCGAGTCTGAGATGGGCAGTTTTCTGCACATATGTGCAGTTATTAAGAGGGGCACTGGGCTTCTGGCCACCCCACTCTCACTCCCAGCTCCCCCACCCCTTATTAGGGCCGATCTTGGGCGACCGCGGCCCCTCTGATGAGTCTGGGTGCAGCGGCAGAGCCGCTGGTGGCATCCCTGGTGGTCAGCCCGTCTTGTGTCTGTGCCTCTTGCTCCCCAGGAACGCCCAGGAAAGTGCAAACCCTGAGGATGAAGTGGACGAATTTCTGGGCCGTGCCATTGACGCCAGGAGCATCGACAGGCTGCGATCTGAGCATGTCCGCAAGTTCCTCTTGACTTTCAGGGAACCTGACTTAGAGAAGAAGGTACAGCACCCGGGGTGGGAGGGAGGTAGGACCAGGGGGACCAGGCCGCAGGACGGCTTCCACCCCATCTCCATCACAGTGGAAAGAGCCCCCTTCTTGTCACCTCACTTTCCCCAGCTCTGATGCTGCCCTGCCTGGGAGATGGGGATCTTAGGGAGACTTCCTGCTCAGAAGGGATAAATCTGAACCTCTTCATGCCTCAGTTTCCTTGTCTGGAGAATGGGGCTATTCGACACACCTACCTCACAGGGTCATAGTGAGGATTAAACAAATCCTTGTAAAACACAGTGTCTGCCACAACGTAGATGTTCAGTGTTAATTGCTGTTTGTATTATTTTTGTTATTATTGTTATTATTATCATTATGGACTACCCAGCTGCCTGGTACACTGGAAGCTCAGAATATCAAAGTTGGAAGGGGCAGTCAAGATCTCTTTGTCGCACCTCCTTAAGCTGTGACTTGAGAAAGCTAAAATGCAGAGCAGTTGGGTGACGTGCTCTAGGCCACCCAGTGAAGCAGTGACAGAGCTGGAACCATACCCTGGTCCAGGGTCCTTGCTCCACGTCACAGGGTCTCCCTGGTGTTCGGTTAAAATGGGTTCATGTTGAACTCATGTCACATCAAACGAGGCAAACCTAGTTAGGAGGTAAAACTATGGGAGGGGAACTTACTCTGTTGACCAGCGGTAAATGGAGTTGACCCACAGAGGCCTTACCCTCGCTGGGTGACTCTATGCCCGCTCAGCCTCTGTTCTGCAGCTGGTTGCTGTCAGGAGAGGAGCTGGTGCTGAGAGTTGAAACCTTGGAGATGAGCTCTGTGATTTTGGACAAGTTGCCTGACCTCTCTGAGCCCCAGCTCGCTCACCTCTAAAGTAGAAAGAATAACAGGGCTGTGCCTACTTCTTGGGGCTCTTGTGATGCTGTGCAATGATGCTCACAGACCCCGGCACGTGTCCTAGCGTGTAGCTGGTCTCAGTAACTTAATCATTTTGAATTATCCTCACGGTGACCCGGCCTGCAGAAAGTTTCTGATTTGACATAATTCAGCTGCCCTCCCCACAGGCACCACCTTTGGTGGTTTGGACTGGCTTCCTGAGAGCTAAGGCTAGCACTGGTTCTCGGGTCTTCTCAGTCGTAGGAGGGGGCTGCCCCGAGGGTATCTGGATGGAGTGGGACTGGGGCAGACAGGCCCGGGTGCCTCCGCCCCTCACCCTGCCCTGTCCTTGCAGTACTCCAAGCAGGTGGATGACCGATTCGGTGCCTACGTGGCGTGTGCCTCGCTGGTCTTCCTCTTCATCTGCTTTGTCCAGGTCACCATCGTGCCCCAGTGAGTACCCCATCCCTCCGGTGCTCCCTCCTCCAGCTGCAGGGGCTCGGGGGTGGGAGGGAGGTCACGGAGGAGAGCAGAGGTGGGAGCCTGGGCTGAACTTGCTCCGGCAGGGGAGAAGTTTCCAGGGCTGTCCTCGGTGGGACCAGGAAGCCAGGAGTCTGCCTCCTCTGTGCGGGGGGAGCGACGTGCTCGTTCCCAGGAGGAAACCTGCTCTCTGGGCACCGCCTGCTGCATGAGAGATCCGTCTCACGCTGCATCAGCTCCTCCCGGTTTAACCACACTGTCACCCAAGATCTGCCACAGGCTTGTTTCTGTATGGCCTTGGCTTCTTGCCAAAGACTCAATACATCTTCAAAAGATAAAGGTTTTCTGCTACTCTGGCTATTTCAAAGACTGGATTTCAGGTTCTGAAGGCTTTCCTCAAAGAGATGCTCCTGAACTCTTCTGAGAACTGGCCATGTCGCTGAGGGAGGCTTGTGGCTTCCGAGGGGACAGGGGACCACTCTGAATGGGTGGTGGGCTCTTGGAAATGAAGTGTTTGTTAGACAGTCACAATAGGGTCATGCTTAGGTGAGAAGGAGAACTGCTGTGTGTATGTGTGTGTTTACCTACATATGTGCATGTATCTAAACATATTTTTTACTTTTTTTTTTGAGGAAGATTGGCCTTGAGCTAACATCCAAGCCCATATTCCTATATTTTATATGTGGGATGCCTGCCACAGCATGGCTTGATGAGCAGTGTGTAGGTCCGCACCCGGGATCTGAACCATCGAACCCTGGATGCTGAAGCAGAGCGTGTGAACTTAACCACTACGCCACTGGGCCAGCCCCTGTTTTTTACTTTTTATTATGTACTATTTCAAACATACAGAAGAGTAGTTATAATCAACACCCATCCCCCTGATATAACAGTTGTTTATATTTTGCAATTTTTGTTTCATCTATTTTTTTTCTGATTTTTAAAGTAAATTTTAGACATAAGGACATTTTTGCCCCAAAAACCTTAATATACACCTACTTTAAAAGCATTTTCTTTCTTAACCACAATGTTTTACACACCAAACAAAATTATCACAAGTTCTCTACAATCAACATATACCAAGTCCATGTGGAGATTTCCAAAACTGTCCCCCAAAATGTCTTCTACTCTTAGTTTATTCACAGCCAGGGTCTACTCAAGACCCACTAGCTGCATTTGTTATATCCCTGAGTCTAACTTAATCGAGAAGGGTCCCCTCACTCCAGCGCCTTCTGTTTTTAATTTTGAAATAATTAGAGTCTTACAGAAAGTTACAAAAGTACAGCAGAGAGCTTCTGTGCGCCCTTCATTCCCTTTTCCCTACTGCAGACAACTTGCCCAACTGCGGTACCATCGTCAGAGCCTGGCAGCGAACGCCGGCGTGGCGCTGTTCACTCTCCCCAGACCGTATCCTGACTCCATCGGTGTTCCCCCGATGGCCTTTTTGTGTTCCAGCAGCCGGTCCAGGCTCCCACGTTGCATTTAGCTGTTGCATCACCGTAGTCCCGTGTAGTCCTTGACACCTCCCAGCCTTTACTTGTCTTTTGTGGCCTTGGCACTTTTGATGAGTACTGGCCAATTAATCAGTAGACGGCCTCTGTCTGGGTTTGCCTGGTGTTTTCTCATGATTAGATTGAAGTTATGCATTTTTGACAAGAATCCCACAGAAGTGACATTGTGTCCTTCTCAGTGCATCACATCAGGAGGTACACGATGGTGGCCCGTCTTATTACTCGACGCCCTGTGTTTTCAGTGGCACTTACTGTTGGAGAGAGAGCCTTTACGTTTGTGTCTGTGCTGACTCTGTCAGGTTGCCCAGGTGGACACCAGACAGTGGCTGCACCCTGGTTCTACAGCTAATGCCCATCGGCTCCTGCTCTGAGGCTGTGCAGAGCTGGTGGGCTTGGGGGTCTTTACTGGCATAGGACCCCGTTTTTCTGTACTGATGGAGCTCCATGTACCAACGAGCAGCTTAGACCTCTGTCCCATCGTAACTGATAGTCCCCTTTGCCTGGGGACATCACCCCGCCTCTTGGCACGTTCCTTTCCCTGCAGCCTGGCCCAGGGGCTTGTCGTCCCATCCCTTGCTCTGCCTGCCGTGGGTTCCAGTTCGTTCCCTCCTCTGGCCACAGCTCCAAGTTGCTAAGGCGCTGAAGGAGGTCATTCTCTGGCCACCCTCTCTCTAGGGAAGCCTTAGAAGCTACTTAAAAGGTCTTTCTTTCCCTCTGACGAGTGTTCTCTCCCTTTGTTCTGTTTGTTTAAGGCAGCCGAGTGCTGGCTTCTGGGGGAGCCTGGAACAAAGACCCTGTTTGAACGCCTCCCCAGAGGTGTTCACCCGCCTTTTCCAGTCCGCCACTGGTCTTTAGCCTGCTGACAGCGCCTGGCATCTCAGGCCACCCTGACTCCCGGAGGGGGAGAAGGAGTTCTGCGGCCTCTCCTGCCACGGCGGGCGCACTGTACCTCAGTGGTGCCTGCCCCAGGAGGGCCGGGGGAGGGTCTGGATGGAAAGGCACTTGCAGCGCTTCTGTCCGAGGATTTGGCCCACGGTGAACGTTAAGATCACCTGTGGTCTGCCCTGAAAGAGGGGCCGGGGAGAGCCTTGCATTTTTGTTGTTGTTGTTGAACTGGGCAGGAATAGGAGAGCAAAAACTGAGCAGGACTTGTTGTGGGGCCTGGCGGTGGGGAGACAGGGTTCAGGGACTATGCCCTCTGAAGGGACATGTCACTGCCGTTTCTCAGAGTGGCTGGTGGGGCTGCTGTCAAATGCATTTCCATAAAGGGTGGCTGTTTATCAAATCGGTTTTCAACCTTCATAGTTACTTTTCAAGCCATGAGTGACTATGTGGAGGGAATAACCAGGTGATTTTTAAATTGGATCCTAGCAGGCTAAATGACGCGAGTCTACGGATAGCTAAGAATTAGGCAAAACATTGAACAGGTGTCACCTGGCTCTCCATTCGGCTCCCCTATGGGCTGCTGCGCCCCCCAGAAAGTGCAGGAAGGTGGGAAGTGCAGGAGCCGGACTGTTAGTGAGGAGGGTCCTGAATTGGTTCGCAAGGCTGTGTAAGCCCTTCTCAGGGAGTCAGAGGCTAGAAAAGCCTGGGCTGTGGGTGCAGGGGAAATGGAGCAGCTTGTGCTTCCTCCGCAGGGGCCCCCAGAGCCCCAGGGCTGCCCGCCTTCTCTCTTCCAGCTCCGTGTTCATGTTGAGTTTCTACCTGACGTGTTTCCTGCTGCTGACCTTGGCGGTGTTTGTGTCCGTGATCTACTCCTGCGTGAAGGTGAGTCCTGCTCACGCTTGAGGCCCCAGTCGCCCCCTTCTCTCCCTTCCCGGCCCTCTGATGGGGAACCTCCCAGGCGCCCGAGTCCCACCTGGGCCCGGGGGTGCATGATGCTGGAGCTCTTAATTGGTGTTGGCAGCAAGCTCAACCGCTGGGGGTAGTTTGTCAGTGGAGCCTTGTTTGTATTTGCTGTTTTAATTAGCCGCTGCAAATCTGTGCAACAAGAAGATGCTGTTGCTGCCTCCTCTGTCTGTCCCCTCGGTATGAGGTGGGATGAAGGAAGGGCGCCAACTGCAATGCCTGGCACGGAGCAGTGGCCAATAGACACTTGCTGAAAGAATGAGTGTGGAAGAGATCTCTCTCGACACCCGATTCCGGGTTCCCCTGTGCCCTGGAGTTGACCCCAGAGGGGACCGTAGAGATGATGGCTTTTGAGCTGTCCAGCATGTAGATGAGCAGGGAGGCCCAGAGTAGTTCAGTGTTGCAGTCAGGGCCACACAGCTGGTCATGTGAACGTGAGACCCTGTTCTGTGTTTCTCTCGCGCGCCTTCTTTCAAGGGTGTGATGGCCCCCCGATGGGGGCCAGCCTGGTCCTAGCGAGCACTCTGTCCCCAGCAGGTCCAAGCCTTCTCCAGCTTCTGCTGTCACCGTTTCTCTGCTTCTCCCTGACACTCACTTGGAGCCACGGCCCTGGGGCGCCAGGCCCTGCTCTCACTCCCTACATACTCTGCCGTGGGCACCATGTTCTCCTTCTGAGGGGATCAGACCTTTGTCACTTCCAGAGTCCCCTTTCTCTCTCCACCCTCCGAATAGGGTCCTTCATTAGGCTAACTGTTTAATTACCTGATGGTCCAGGTCTTGGGGGACTGATTGTCAGAACTGGAAGGACCTTGGGAATCATCTGGTGTGCTATGGCCCTGGCCTGAGCAGGTGCAGAAGTGGACGTCCAGAGAGGAGCAGGGTGGGCCAGGGTCACGTGGCAAGCTGAGCCCTGTGCTCAGCCAGTTGCTTCGCTGCATCATAGGGGTTCATCCTGAGTCCCTGCCTCGCTAAAAGCTCCTTCCTCAAGGCTACGGCCTGCTTCCTGCCCTGTGTTCAACCCCTCTTGCCTTTTGGTCTTGCTGTTGTCAAGCTCCCCAGCCTACTTTTCTCCCAGTGAGCAGTCCCACTTGCTTCATCTCATGGCTATAAAAGCACACCATCTATTCGGCATAGCCAAAAGGTGGAAACAACCCAAGTGTCCACCAACAGATGAATAAACAAAAGTGGTCTATCCAGACAGTGGAATATTATTCAGCCATAAAAAGGAATGAAGTTCTGACACATGCTACAACATGGAAGAACCTTGAAATCATTATGCTAAGTGAAAGAAGCCAGACACAGAGGGATGTATATTGTGTGATTGCACTTACATGAACTATCTAGAATAGGCAAATTCATAGAGACAGAAATAGATTTGAGGGTACCAGGGGCTGAGGAAGGGGGATGGGAAGTTATTGCTTAATGGGCACAGAGTTTCTATTTGGGATGATGAAAGGGTTTTGGAAATAGATAATGGTAATGGTTTCACAACAGTATGCATGTCATTAATGCCACTGAATTGTACACTTAAAAATGGTTCAACTGGCAAATTTTATGTTGTGTCTGTTTTACCACAATAAAAAAGTCACAACCACCTAAAAATAGAAGCACACTGTATCTAAAAGAGGCTCTTAAATGTTCTTTTGCTGAATCCCAAAAAAGAATCTTTGCTTGGGACCAGCCCGCTGATGTAGTGGTTAAGTTCACACGTTCCACTTTAGCAGCCTGGGGTTTGCCGGTTCGAATCCTGGGTGTGGACCTACACATCACTCATCAAGCCATGCTGTGGCAGCATCCCACATATAAAATAGAGGAAGATGGGCATGGCTGTTAGTTCAGTGACAATCTTCCTCAAGCAAAAAGAGAAAGATTGGCAACAGATGTTGGCTCAGGGCCAATCTTCCTCACCAAAACAAAAAACAAAACAAAACAAAAACCCTGGAATCTTTTCTTTTTCTAAGTTAGAAATTGAGGCAAATTCATTGTTTGTTCGAGACACTTAATTAGCCTATTCAGATAAGAAGCAAAGCTATATGTTGTCTGTCATTTTTAAACCAGAACCTAGATTTCTCTCTTTTGTATTAGCTGCTTTGGTAAACCTGAGCTGTACTGATTTCATTCGTTTTGTGTTCCCTGATCTGCACGTGTATCTGATGGTGGGGGAGGAGGAGGAGGGTGAGGGGCAGAGAGGGAAGGGGAAGAGCAGGGAGAGGAGGCGGGGGAGGAGGAGGAAGAAGAGGAAGAGGAGGAGGGGCAGGAGGAGAGGGAAGGGGGGAGAAGAGGAGGGGACGGACCCACTTCCCCATCTGCACTGCCACTCTGAGTTAGTACTTTGGTCTAGTGAATTCTTGTTGCCTCTGTTCAAGATTATTTATGAAAATGATTCCTGCCTCCTTGTGCTGTATTGAACCTACCTATTTTGTAATCAATGTCCCATTCAAGGAGCTTGCTCCCAATGCCTTTATCTGGCCCAGTGATTTTTCTGACTGTTCTGAGGAGGTCTTAGTTTCCTCAGGGGGAGGCTGGTGGATGGAACGCCCACATCCCTGCCCCCTGGACATCCCGCCAACCCTGCCACACACACGCCCTTCACCCAGGGGGTCTGCTTCTTGCATCTTACAGATGTAGAGCTTCCGGAAAGAATTCGTTTAGAAAAAACAGTGGTCCGTGGCTTCTCCAGTCTGGACCCTGCTGATCTTGGCTGGGAGTCCAATCCACTCTGCTACCCACCTTGGGGTCCCTGCTGCATCCTTCTCTCACAACCTCTGACAAGCCATCTTCTCAGCATTTATCCACTTTCTGGAAAGTAGACCCCAACCTAAGAAATTTTTTTGTAGTACAAACTCCTCTTCCATTTATTCTTCTAGTCTCTTTATGTTGTGAATTACCTGCACATTAAGACGTGAAGGAGGTGATTCTCCCTTTGACGTCTCTGCAGCGGGACGCGCCAGCCCTCCCTTCTCCTGATGTGGGACGTGGCCTGTCGCCAGCACCCGGCGCTCCGCCTGTGGCTGGACTTGCGAAAGTTGATTTTATCACCTTTTCAGATACTGGCATGAAGCAGACTGGACTGGAATTTTCAGTGTCCTTCTGTTTTCCCTTTGAAAACATTCGCCCTTTACCAGAAGCCCTTTTTCATCTGATTCCCACAGTTTCTCGGAAGTCACTGCCAGTGGCTCTCCGGTGAGACATGGCAGCCCCTGACTTGCCCGTGGTCTGGGCTCGGCAGACCCAAAGTCAGGCGGTTCTGTCAGACACAGTTTTTTCTTCTGTTTCATTTACTGTTTCATTTCCCCAAAACAACTAGGACTTACTTTCTTAAGTCGTCCGTATTTTAACCTTTCTGAAGAGAGAAACGTGAAGAAAGCGTAGGCTGAATTAAGTTATCTTCGCTGTCTGTCAGGGGCGGTTTCCTGGGTCCTTTCTGTCAGAAGGTTTTCCAAAACTTCCTACTTTCCGAGTGCTCTGATTGGCTCACCGTGGGCCTGTTTGAGCTTTTCCTGACGCCGCTTGGTCCAGTTCACACACATGCCTGGATTCCTCCAGGAGGCTAGTCCGGTGCCTTGGTCGTCCTCGTGTCCCTCAGTCCTGGTCTCGCTCCTCAGGGCATCAGCCGCCCTTCAGAGCCCCGCTGTCTCTGGGATGCCTTGCCCTGGGCATGGCCCCAAGCACTTTCTTCTGGTGGTGCTGTCTTAGAAGGCCAGTCTGAACATCTGTGCACATCACTCCGCCATTCCCTTGGCATCCGTGCTGACCCGGGCCCCAGAGCTGCTTTTCTTAGAGAAAACCATGCTGAATCCGTCTTTGCCATCACACATGGTCCGTAGACTCAGAGAAGCTCCGATTGGAAGGGGCCGGAGCAGTGAGGCAGCCCAGACACCCACCCGAGGCTGGAATCCCTTTATGCTAACCCTGCGAGGGGTGGGCCCGCCTCTGCTGGATCACCTCCAGGGACGGCCAGCTCACTCACATCTCCTGAGCCCCTGCCCTCTTTGGCTGGCTCTGACCGTTCCCTCAGTCTCCCTGGGGCTTCCGCGGCATCGTCCTGTGAAGCAGCCCAGGCCTAATGCACTTTTGCCACCAGCACCCGCGTGGGTAGAAGCAGGCAGCTCCCTTCTCTCCCCTCTCTTGATCTGGGCTCCCTGTCTTTACTGTGGCTCTTCAGCACATCCTCACTCAGAAGGCCAGACTCTCCTTGCCTGCGATTTGGGAGTTGGCTACCGACAGCTCCAGAAGAAGTACTCAGCTGCATAGCTCTGTGCCTGTGTGTGTTTAAATCTCCCTCATGCTCCAGGCTGCTGGCTCCCTCTCAGCTTGCATCCCACTGACCTCCGGGACCCGCTTGTCTGAGCTCCTGGGCACTCCTCCCAGAGCTCCTCCCAGGCTCCTTCTGCTCTGTGCTGTCACCAAAAAGCCTCCTCTTCTCCGCCCGCAGCCCGAATGTCGCCAGGTCTCACCTTGCTGGCCCTCCTCTCTACCACGCCCCCCTGACTCCTGTCCACAGTTTCTATAGCAGGGTCTTGCTGTACCTCTTACCTCCTAGGTGTCTTCTATCCCATGAGGACTTTAGGATCCCCACGCTCACTTTTCCCTCAGCCTGACCAGGCTCAACATTTTGTCTATTAGGGAAGGGATGTGTCGTTGCCAGACACACGTTCAGTTGGGAATGGAGAACTCTTCATTCATTCCCTCGCGTGGCTTTCGAGTCAGGCAGTCTCAGGTTCATATCCAAGTTCTGTCACTTTGATCTGTGTTTCCCAAGCCTCTAAGATGACTTTTATTATGTCCACATTAAAGATGAGGAAAATGAAGCTCAGAGAGGTTAGGCAGCTTTCCTTAGGTCCCAGAGCAGTATAGCAGGGATTTAAATCCAGATGGTTCTTGACTTCAGAGCCCACAATCCTTCCCCTCCAGGACAC